CCAGGGTGTGGGGCTCCACACTGCATTCTGTGTCCRGCACACATGGGTCCAATCCCACCTCTCAGTTCCTGTTTTCTCGGGAAGGCTAAGGGATGTCTAGGGGCCCCATTYTCTCTGTAGGGTGGGGCAACATCACCCATCTCCCCATGTACGCCTGCAGGGTCAGTTCACTTTCTCAGGAGCGACCGGTGGGCCCCACAGGTTCTGGCCGAGGTGCTAGAGGGGGCCTCTGCTGCCCACCCAGCCAGCCGTAGACCTGGGGGAGCCCCTTGGAGGCTCTGCTGCGGCGCCTCAACCTGGAAGGGGCAGGGCTTGCGGGACTCTCCCCTGCAGTGCGCCTACAGGAGCTGGAGGCTGCTCTCCACTGTCACCCCCCTGCAGATGTTTTGGAAGCAGGTGGAGGGCTGACAGACTCTTCAGGGGGCTGGGAGGCCCTGCCCAAGGCCGGGAGGACCAGAGTAGGTGCTGGTTTCCCTCTGGGGTCCTGGGGACAGGGAGGTTCCTGAGTCTCCCCACTTGCTAGAGGTCAGCAGTCCACRCTCTCAACCAGGACCTAGTCCTACTGCCCACCCCCAGCCTCATGCCTGCTGACAGCTCAGGCCTGTGCGGGCTTCGGAGAGCGCCCCAGGTGGGGGCTCCCCATGCAGCCCTGCTACCTGCCCCATGGCTGTGTGAGCCTGGGGGTCCACAGGAGAGGCCCGCCCAGCAGCCCCATCTCCTGCTCTGCCCGTGGGAGCGGAGAGTAGCCCTGAGGCCCTGCTGCAGCAGGCCGGCTCTCTCCACCCACCTCCATCAGCAGCCCGGCCTGGGGGGACAGGCCCCGCTTCTCCAGGTGGCTTTGTGGACAGTGACAGTCGGGGAGCTGGGCAGGGTGGTGCTGCTCCCGTGCTGTTCACACCTAGTCAGGGCTCTCACGCTTCTTGGTGCCTCTCCTGTCACGCTGGTCCTAGCAGCGGCTGGGCTTCCTGTGCRCCTGGATTCCGTGGGCCGAGGCCTCAGAGAACAGGGCTTGCTGACACTTGCTCAGGGACGGGCAGGGCGGTGGGGGCCTAGGACACCCTGCTCATTTCAGGGGATGCCTGGTAGAAGCCTCCAGGGGTGCACCGCAAGTCCAGCCCCAAGCCCTGACCCCACCCTTTGGGGAGGAGAGCTGCCCCTGCCTGGCCCCAAGGACTCACGTCCACCGTCTTCCAAATTCTTCTGGTATCAGGGAGCCAGCTGGAGCTGGGGGGGCGGGAAGGACGGTGGAGTGCATGGGCAGGGGTCTACACAGACCCCGGCTTCCACTCCTTTGTCTCATCAGTGACCAATGATGCAATGCTTTTTTTTTTTTTTGGTGGTACCAGGGATTGAGCTCAGGGACACTGACCACTGAGCCACACCCCAGCCCTATTTTGTATTTAATTTAGAGACGGGGCCTCACTGAGTGGCTCAGCACCTGGTAGTTGCTGAGGATGGCTTTGAACTCACGCTCCTCCTGCCTCAGCCTCCTGCTGGGTTTACAGATGTGGCCACCACACCCAGTGAGACAAAATGCCATGAGCAAACTGGTTCAGTTCTTCTCCGTCCCCAGAGCCTGGAACTCGGAGAGCCTGCAGCCTGGGACCCACTGGCCCCTCAGGAGAGGGCTCCCAGGGCCCTTCACCACACCCCCATCCCTCCCCTCACCTGGAACTGGAGACCCTCCCAGGCCTTACAGTTTAGGGTRTGGACATGAGGTGTGCCCTCAAGCTCCTGTGTCCCTGCAGGGACTTCCAGAGGTGTCTAGTCCCTGGGGCTCCTGAGCTCACCCAGGGTGACTGGACTGGCGGGTGGTCACTGTTGGCAGGTGGCCATGGCTGGAGTTGGTCGCTGGGGGCAGGCCCTGCGAGGGCACATGTGCCCTGCCGCCCCTTCCCAGGGGCTTCCTGCAGAGAGCTGCTCTCCTCTCCTCCACCAGGCCCTTCCRCCACGARGGCCCTGGCCGCCGTAYCTTGGGCAATGGAGTCGGCCATCTATGGACTGAGGCTCTGTTCTGTGAGCCAAAGTAAACTTTCCCTCCTTTAATTGTTCTTGCCGGGCATTTTGGTCASAGAGAGCTAACGCGTGGCTGGAGCAGTGTCCCCCAGTGAGACATCTCCATTCCTTGGGGTAGTTCTGCAGGAAGTCTCTCCTTGGTAAAACCTGCTGTTTCCCTTCTCAAAACCCCTGCCTCGCACCTACCCAAGCAGCCCGCCCTGCCACCAGGCCAGCTCCCACCCAGCTCCTCCGGCCAGGCTGGCCTTCAGGGTCCCCCTCTAAGGTCAGCCCACTGCCTCCTGCAGGGTCCTGGTGGGGSTCCTCCCAGGGCCGAGGGCTCTGCCCGTCCAGGGCTGGTGAGCTCTTGAAGAGCCAGCACTGCCACCCAGCTCTGGGCCGCAGGGGCACCTGAGGGGTAGTGGGGGGCCAGTTATCAGTGCCAGGGAGCAGCCAGGCTGCTGGCCGGAGCCCATGTCCTGTCCTGCGAGTGGACAACACAGGCAGGGTGAGTGACTACCTGCTGACCAGGCTGATGCCAGGCTGAGAGGAGCGGGGCGAGGGGAGGGGCAGTGGGGGCTCTCCACTCCCCACATGGTGCCTGAGGGGATAGCAGGTCCCGGCAGAGAAGGCACTTGAGGGTCTAGGACTGGTCTTGTCCCAGGGAGGGCCTGCCCCTCCCCTAGGTCACCTGGGAAAGGGGCTTTCTCCTAGCCAGCTGCTCCTGAGGACACGGGTGGGGATTGCTCAACCTGGGCCACTGTCCAGGCGCACCGCGTGTTAAGCGCACAGTGGACGTGATCAGGAAGTGCCGCAGGGCAGGGGGTTTGGCAGCCCYTCAGGAGTGCCCAAGGCGCCACCCCAGCAGGAGGGGTGTGGCCACCAGCAGCTGGGGTAGCCAGTCGCCCACTGGGCTGTCACCCAGAGAAGTGGGGCTCGTGGCCAGTCTCCTGCCCCAGGTGGCGCCAGGGCTGGTRTCAGGGTGCCGAGCTGCTGTGTCACCAACTGCCTGCTTGTCAGGGCTGGGGGCCACATAAAAGGCGGACCAGGAACTGCCTGGAGGTGGGCAGCGGGACCGGCGTGGACAGGCCCACTGCTTCATTTCACAAAGTGCCCAAGGCCTCTCTGTGCCCATCCTCCCTGCGTGGGAGGCACCTGCAAGTCCCGCTGCTAGGAGGCAGCCAGCTGTGTTACCCAAGCCCTACACCCTCCCCACAAAATTCTGGGACAAGGTCCCCAGGTCCCCAGAGCAGGTCCTGGCCCCACGGGTCGACACTGTGGTGTGCCCCCTCCCTCCCCTTGCCTGGAATCCCCCATCTGGGTGCACCACACCAGCACTTTGGCCCCCCAGGCCGGGCCCCTCCACCGCAGGGCTCCGTCAGCTGCAGTCCCTGCCCTGGTCCTGCCCTGGTCCTGCCCTGTCCCTGGCTGCCTTCCAGCCTGGCCACCCCAGGGTCCCACACTTGTAAGGTCATGACATCCCCCGCACTGTGCGGGGCCACACACACCTGTCCAGACCCTGATGACTGTGAGAGCGATATTGAGGGGGACCTGGAACATCCCAATACCCAATGTGGCCCCGAAGAAGAACACAGAAGCACCAGYGATTTTTAGAATCTCAGTCGCATTTCTTTAAAAACAAAAAGACCCCACAAATAGAACTCCCCACCCCACCAGCCCAGTGTAACAGGTTAGCCATTAACACAGAATAGAAGATGTACCAGCCACGAGTCACTAGCTCTGTGGACGCCACAGTGGATGGCCAAGGTGGCCGATTCAGACGCGGTGCCAACACACCACGGCTCCAGCCGGCCACCTGAAATAAATAAACACGGTGCCAAMCGTACCTCCGCGTTAGTAAGTGTTAGGGGACAAACAGAGGCTGTCAGGCCAGGGTCTGCTATCCCAGGCCCTGCGGACTGTCGGCCATGCCTGGCTGGACAGCAGAGACTTCCCAGATGGGCCATGGTCCTACTATGCTCCTGCACACTAGCCGGCAAGTCAGAGTCAGCACCATGGACACAGGCCCCA